TTTAGTTAATTTTTTAATGTTTTTTTTTTTTTTTTTTGAGGTGGGGAGGGGCACAGAGAGAGAAGGACAGAGGATCTGAAGAAGGCTCTGTGCTGACAGCAGAGAGCCGGATGCGGGGCTCGAACTCATGAACCATGAGATCGTGACCTAAGCCAGTCAGAAGATTAGCTGACTAAACCACCCGGATGCCCCTCTTTAGTTAATTTTTAAATTCCTTTCTTCCTTTATTGGTTTCTCAACACAAATATCAGACACAATTAAGAAATTTCTTGGGTGGTGGAGAGAAAGAATACTTAGCCCATATTTGGAGCTGAAGCAAATATTCTTTCTTCCCCCAAAAGGCATGATGTGTTAGCTTCAGGATTCACTCGCTTTTTTTCTGATAACATTGAAGCTATAGGTGCCAAAAAAGAAAAATGAACTGTTTTACTTTGGTGTTACTTTAGTGGGTGGAAGGATTTTAACCTTTATAAGTGTAGAGGTGAAGAATGAAACCAAGGGCTTCTCCAGAAGGAAGTATTGTACATAGAAAAAAGAATGAGCTAGAGCTGTAGGCTGGTAGAACAGGGGAGCCTTGTGTAAAGGAACTGTGAGAGGCTCCCCCATTTATCTTCCCTTCTCAGTAATGGCCTAACAGCTTTTGAGTCTCATCTTCTCTTCCCCAGTTACCACTGCCATGACTGTTTCCCCAGTGGTTTCTCATTAGCTCAAAGTGTTCCCAAACAAACTCTCATTTTGTGTTCCCCCTCCTCAGTCAACTTACCCTTTCCTCCTGACGCTTTGACTTCCCTGCTTCTGTTAATGAAATCACCCCCTCCCAGTAGTATAGGGTTAGAACATAATAGAACTCTTTAATTCTTCCTTCTCAGATTTGCAAAAGCTGGAGGTCCTACCAGTAAAATAGCTCTTTTCATTCTCTCTTCCCAGGGCCCCAACACCTTTCCTTTTTGTGTGCCTATGAGCTTCATTCGATCTTCATCTCAGACAACATGTCTACTCCTCCAGGGAAGTCTTTCCTGACCTCCCCCAGCCCCAACACATATCTTATAGATACCTCATTGTTTTTTCTTTAGATTATTTACATGTCTTTCTTCCATTCTTGAAAACGGGGACTATGCTTTTTTTCATCTTTATTTCTCCAGCACCTAGCATAGTGTCTGGTACAAAATGGGTGTTAAATGAAGTTCCGTTGCACTGAATTAACTGCTAACAAATTTGAGCCCCAACAGTGCCAATGTTGCCTACCTCAGGAATCTCAAAGTCTTCACACCAGCATTTAAGGCTTTCATGATATAACCCTAAGCCCCCATTTCCTCCTGCCTTTGGGTACTCAAGATGGCAGCTAGACCAAACTAGTCATTATTTCTCCACTATATCCCTAGCTCCCACATCTGTGCTTTTGCTTAGGTTTAGACATCCTTCCTCACTGTCTACCAATAATTTGCGCAAATCTTGCTCATGTTTCTCAAGCCACCTCCAAAGCCAGTTCTTAGAAGAGGCGTTTTCTGATCCCCAACATAATCTTACTTCCGTACACACCTGAGCACCATTATTATCACCATTAACAGGACACATTGATCAAATCTCTTTTATAAACTATTTTTAAATGCATTTAATTGTAATTTTCTTTTGCTCCGAGGATTAAATGAAAGTCCCGTGAATAAAAAAAAATGTTTCTTAATTGGCCATTGCTTTCCATCACCCATTATTAGCCTGAGAAACTTGAAAGAAGATGTTTTCCCACTAACCAAAGCATCTAGTCCAGCTCCTGGCACTAGGAGCCTCTAAAAATACCAATTACAAGAAACATCACAGACCAAATGGTGATTTAAGCCTTGCTTTCCCCAATCTCTTCATCAATATGCTTTCACCAATATTCCCTTCTCATTCCCCAAAAGAAGACTGTTCAATCTCCTGTAATTATCACTTTGTCAAAGAGACTTTTCTTGCCTACCAAATCTAAGATAGCTCCACCCATTATATTTTTCATGTGCATTTCTTCATAGCCCTCATTCTAATTTTATGCATATGCTTCTAGCCCATTTGATTTTTAATGCCTATTTTTACCACAGATCTGTAATTTCCATGAAAGAATAGAACATGACTATTTTATTCTTTGCTGAAACAGCCATTTGTTAATTAATCATTTGTCTCTTACATATTTTGTAAATAATTTCTCCAGATCTGCTGTTAGTTTTTTAACTTTAAATATTCTATATATATTCTCCCTCTATATGTATATATATTCTATTATATATGTATGCATACACACAAGTTCTTTTTAAATATATATATCTTTAAAATATATTAAATACATATTACACATTAATATAATTATATATCATATATATACATATATACAAATATATGTATATGCATATATATATTTAAATGCTCCAGTGCAATATGTCCCTAGAAGTAAAAAAATTGAAAAGGCATCTCTTTAAGAGTCTTGAAGCATTTTGTCAAATTCCATATGTCTAGCCCTCTGACAAAAGTGTGGCTTGCATTCTTAAATCTCTACCAGTGGCCTCATGTTATTAGATTTTGCTGGGCAAGCTGAATAGAATTAACTTGACGCTATATAAGCATACTTCTGAAAATTTCAGGAATCAGGTGCATCAAGCAGGGATGCTGTGTTCAGCACTGTGTACAAGGGGGAAGCTTTGGCACTCTCCCCCTGCTCATTAGCACCAAATCATTTGACAGTCCTCTCACGGTTTACCTTTACTTGAATGAATGCACAAATCTGTCCATCCCCATTGCCCTCAAATAATAATTCCCTTTACTTCCATAGCCACTGGATAACCTCCAGGATCTGTGGTCAGCCAGAGAATACAAGTGCCAGTGTCTTTCCAGGACACTCTGTAATCATGGTAATACATAGCATCTTAGCCAACTGTGTAAACAACTTTACCAGGCTATTCCAACCCAGTTATCATAAATGTTGCCAATTATAACAGTTTCTATCATAGAGAAATGACATAGAAGAATGTAATGCACTGTGTGAGTAACCTGGTAAATATTATTGGATGGGATGACATGGAGACAAAAGTTTGGTGACCTCAGTACACACTTAGCCCTGAGCCATCATATGACTTCCCCTGATCTTTAGTCATCCCACAACGCACAGGAGAGTAGTGCTGGGTAAGCCAGGAGAGCACTCAGTGGGGATTTCCTAAATTAGACCTGCCTGTCATATATTATTCCCATTGCCTTTCCTCTGCAAATAAAGAGTATAATTCTTTATAATATACATTTTTGCCTATTCCAAATCCCACATACATGGGAAGAAAAGCAAATGCATTCTTTCACTTCTGTTCTTAGGATGTAATCCAGGGGGGGGGTTTACCTTAAATTTACTTGCTTCATCACAGAGAGTTTTACTTCATTGTCTGGCTTCTTGAACATGGTTTTTGTTTTGTTTTTCTCCCCCCCCTTTTTTTTTTCTCTCTTTCTCTTTTGCCTTCTCCAGCTATGCAAATATTGAATAAAGGATTCAGAGTACAAAAACCTATCTCCAGGAGCAGATGGGTGACTCAGTCGGTTAAGTGTCGGACTTTTGATCTCAGCTCGGGTCTTGGTCTTGGGATGGTGAATTTGGGTTCTGCTTTGGGCTCCCTGCTAGGTATGAAGCCTACTTTAAAAAACAAACAAACAAACAAAAACAAAACAAAGCAAAAACCTATCTCCAAGTGTAGATGCAACTTGGAGCTTCCCCTGTGTTTCCAAAACTGTTTAAGCTTGAGTAGGCATAAGCAGGGTAGGAATCACAAAGAGCATCAGACTTGGTCCGAACCCTGATCTTCTACAGGGAAGGGGGTTCAGAGAGGACAATATAATAGCATAAGTAGTTACAATATAATGACAGAAGTAACAATGTCCATAGTGGGAGAAGGATGGAGGAGAGGCAATCAGGAAAGATCTCTCACAGCACATAGTTTGTGCTGGACATTTCAGAGTAGAAAAGAATGTCTTAGGCGAAGATTTGGATTAAGGACATTCTGTACAGGAGGTCAGAGTGAGCAAATTCTCTGGTGGTAGAAGAAGGCAAGTTAAACTGACATATTGATCCCTTTTTAACTTTGTTTTTCATTAAACCTAATGAAGAGAGTTAAACCTAATGAAGACAATGTATCACTGGAGAAAAACAAATTGATGGCCTTTTATGGCCATAAGAAAAAAAATGTATTTGGGACAGTTACTCAAGTCCGAGTCCCAGCAAAAGGAACTTTCAGTTCCTGACTTGTACCCTTTGCTCCTGGAGAAAAAGCTGGAAGAACTCTTTAGGCTATTTATTTCTTCTAGGCAGAGAATCTTATACTTTTGAGTGCAGCTGATTGGCTACTGTAAAAGCCCGCTCTGAGCAGGAACCAATCACATCCCGGAGCCCAGATTCTTGGAAATAGTTTCTGGCCAAGAATGCTTGACATTGAGACAGCCTCCCGCTTGTAAACAAGGACGAGTCTGGGCGGGTCCCCAGCCTACGCGATCGGCGACCCTGTCCCAAGGGGCTGATGATCTTGACCCCAAGTACCTCCAAATGTCCGCTTCACCTTTCCTCCTCCCCCCACTTACTCCTCACAGCCTCGGGTACTGGTGCCAGGTCTCTCCACCGACAGGACCCCGCGGCCGGGGGCGGGGCCCAAAGTTCTTTATCTGAGCTGATTGGCACGGCCCCAGTTCTGGACGCGTCTCCAAGTCCCAGTGACTCCTCCCCTTTGGAATTGGGGGGAGCGTGTGGGGACACAAATAAAACCACGGGAGGCGGCGGGTGGTGGCCAAACGCGAACTTGAGTCTCCAGCTGCTCTGTGTTCCTCCGACTCACAGCCGGCCACCTCCACTCGGAAGCACCCCGAAACTCAGCCCAGGCCAGGTGCACAAGCCAGTCCTCTCTCCCTAGAGGCGCACCGCCCCCTCCTCGGTCCCTGATTTTGCTTTCCTCAGTCTACGTCCCTTAAGCCAGCCCCAGCGCTCGCCAGGCAAGGTGGGCATCAAGATGAAAGCGGCCCGCTTCGTGATGCGCAGCGCCGGCTCGCTGAGCGGCGCCAGCCTGGTGCCCCGCGAGGTCGAGCATTTTTCGCGCTACAGTCCGTCCCCACTGTCCATGAAGCAGCTCCTGGACTTTGGTGAGCTGGGAAGTAGGGCTGGGTGGGGGCGCTGGGGTTGGGGAGCTGCCTTAACTTTCAGCCCTTGTGCAGGGAGGGCTGGGCTCACTGCTTAAAATAACTGGGGTCCTCAATCCTGCTGAACCCTGGAGCCTCGACGCCTGTGCACCCTGCCCTTTCCTAGATCTGCCTTATTTCTGACAGTTTGTGCCTACAGGTGAAGGCCACTTGCTGACCCGCTGATACTGGATGGTTTGAGCTCATCTTTCCGTCCAAACCTTCCAGTCAAAATACTTTTTGCTTTCAGTCACCATTTCACAATGGATTAAAAACTTTATCCCCTCCTCCACAACATAATACTTTTTGGAGAAGATTCCTAATGTTATAAAGTAGCCTCAAATTAATTGAAATTTTAGCCCTTAACCACCTTCCACCCGTTCACAGGGTATATGCATATCTCTGCATTGCTGACAAATTTGTCTCTTCCATATATTTGCATTACTGCCAAAAATGTTTGCAAACTTTCTGCAGTAATCTTATGAAGAAAATTTCAAGGATTTAAATGTGATATTATTTAATACTAATCTGGAAACATCATGACTCTTATCCACCCTCTTATCCCTCTGCTCCAATTTCATATCTAGAACTCTCTGAACCAAGTTGTCTGGTTAACATAGTGGTGTTGACTGAGCTACAGTATATTCTGACTTCATGGAAATTAATCCTCTTTCAAAAAAAGAAAACAATAATTCTCATATTGGTCATCTAAAAAAAAAAGTAAAGAAAAAGACAATGAAGAAGGAGATACTTACTTCTGAATTACCTATAAATAATAACCCAACTGAGGGTGAACTATAATTGTATGATGTGTGTGTGTTCAATATTGGATAGTTAATGTTATTCAAATGTATCATTTGGATCTACTTTTCTCCAAAAACTAAATAAATGTTATTTATTACAGGTTCTGAAAATGCATGTGAAAGAACTTCCTTTGCATTTTTGCGACAAGAATTGCCTGTGAGGCTAGCCAATATCCTGAAGGAAATTGACATCCTCCCTGATCGATTAGTCAATACCTCTTCAGTGCAATTAGTTAAAAGCTGGTAAGTGGTCAATCATTCCAAAACAGTCTCTGTTTTGAAGACAAGTATCTGAGTATGAATTCTTATAATTTATTAACATCATAATTGGAAAACGGGTGGTCTGAACAGTAACTATTTTTGAAAGATGTAAAGATTTTTTAGTAATTCAGAGTAAGTTATCATAAGGACAGTTATATAGCTATAAACAGACATTTTATCCTGAAAAAGTACATAATTTCACAATATAATTGTATTTTAAATAATAAAAGACAGGGTTTGATATTGCAAAAGAAATCCTACTCGAGAAACAGACAGGAATGACTACTACTTAGAGGGTCTAATCTTTGTTACTTACAAACTGATTAACAGCAGGCTTTGGGTTCAAATCCTGCCTCTGCAGGATTCTCTATGCCTTAATTCCTCCATCTGTGATAGAGGAAAACAAAGTATATGCTTCAAAGGAATATGTGAATGAAATTAAATGAGCTAATTCGTTAAAGTACTTAAAACAGTACTTGGCACACAGGCAGCACTTAGTAAGTGTGTTATTATCATCTCATTTTAAAGATAAGGATACTGAGGCTTGGAGAGGGTAAATCACCCAAAGGAAAAGATTTTCAGAGAACAGGACCAAGGTATGCAGACAGTCACCTTACATCACTCTAATCCACTGACTGCACAGCTTTTTGTTCATTGATTCAAGAAATGCATATTATATTATATTATATTATATTATATTATATTATATTATTAAGCAATTATAATCTGAAACATATATTAA